ACATGGCATACAGCTTACTCACCGGCAGCTGCACCCCCGGGAGTAGGTTGATTTGGCAGTCGAAGGGCCTATGAGGAGGCAGCCTGTCCGCTTCCTTCTCGCTGAAGACCTCCTGTAAGTCCGCGTACTGTGGCGGCACCTCTGCTCTCTGCTTCAGTGTAGTTGCTGCTACTCTGGCCAACCTCACCCTGGGCTTCTCCCCCCCTAGACAGTGTTCCAAACAGTGTGCTGACCCGAAGGTGACTGTCCGTTGGTGCCAAGCCACCCCTGGATCATGTAGCACTAGCCAGCTCATGCCCAGTATTATCGGTGGTCCTGCCAGTGTGGCCACATGAAAGGCAATGGTTTCTGTGTGCCTGGACACCCTCATTCTCATTGGTGGGGTTTGATGTGTCACCTCCCCTCCCAGCAGCTCCCTGCCATCTATCGTGGTCACTTGGAGTGGGAAATCAAGTGGCACCAGGTGTAGTTGGTGCTCCAGTGCAAACTCCTTACTAAAAAAATTACAGGAGCTGCCCGAGTCCAGCATTGCCTTCACCTTGACTGGGTGTCCATTTGGGAGTTCTAGCACCACCTCTATCGCTATAGAAGCCTTGGGTGGGTCTGGTTGGGGCACTTCCGTTAGTTGTTCGCTTGGCTGCTGCGCCCCCCTGTGGGCAGTCAAGCGCTGGCGTTTCCCTGCACCTTTTCCTCTGCCCCCTCCTCCTCGCTTCCAGCGGCTCCCACCATCCCTTGCCAAGCCTTCCTTTGTGGACAGACCCTAGCAAAGTGTCCTGGCCGTTGGCAGAGGAAACACTTCTTGGTGCTTTTCCCAGCCTTTCCCTCCCTTTTGACTCCTTGGTTGGTGCTCGAAACCTCGCACGCCCGCGCTCCATCGATTTCCATTGGCACCACGTCATCGGGAGGCTGCTTTGGCATCTCAGGAATGCGGTAGTCAGGGTGGCGCTCTCCTCTCCCTTCCCGCCTTTCCAAAGTGCGCGCTTCCTGCTGAGCACCTATCGCAAGCGCAGCTTTAGTCAGTTCATCCATAGACTGCGGGCGGGGCGCGCGGGAGAGCTCGTCTTTAACGGTTGGGGACAACCCCTCCTCAAACAGCATCCGTATGGGCGGGCTATCCAGATCCCATTCGAGCCGGTGAATTAGCATCGCAAAGCGGGACCAATAGTCTCTAACGGAAAGATCCCCCTGCTTGCATCTCATCAGCTCCCTCTGGGTTACACTCTCCCCCAATTGGCTTGAATACATTGCGTCCATAGCCTGAAAAAACTTCCGGACATCCCTCATGGCGGGGTTCTGCACAGCCATAAGGGGTCGAACCCATTCCCTCGCGCTGCCCTCAAGGTGCCCCACGATATACGCCACCCTCGCTGCCTCGTCAGCAAAGTCATCATGCTGCAGCTCCAAAGCGTACTCAATTTCTGTTCGGAATCCATTATATTCCTGGGGCTTCCCCCCCAAATTTGTGTACCAGTCCGGGCACCTTCTTTCCCACTGGGGTGGGTCTAACCTGCGCGTCCTGGGTGCACCTCTCATCCAGCCGTGCCGTCAGCAGGGCTACATGCCGTTCCAGCTCCTGGTTCCTCTTCACCAGGTCCTGCACCCCCACAGCTTGCTCCGCTGCCCCGGTGCCTCCAGTCTGGCTCATGTTTCTCCTGCTTGCGCACAAGTAACGTCAAAGACTGACGGATTGCTCTAATGGTTGTGAGGGGTTACTTGTGCGTAAATGGCCTTAGATGTAGTTAGTTTGCTTGCCCAACCATGCTTAGGGTCGGAGCTTGCCCTCCGTGACCTGTTAGTCACTTGCAGAATCCGTCAGTGGGCGTTTCTTGAACCTCTTCCAGCATAAAAGCTGTTTGACCCCGAGTCTCCTCCTATGTTCCCTGCGCGGAACGCGTCTGCGCAAGTAAGGGGAAGGCAGGGGCGTGCCAGCGCTCTCTCCACTAGTTTCGGGTGAAGGGTCTTGGAGCCCTGTCACCAATTCCTCCATCTCCCTCTCTACTCTATTGGTGCTACCCTGAATTCCTTCCCCCTGCTGGTCCCCTCTCCGGCATCGCTCGGGAGCCCTGCCTCCGCTTCTCGCTCTGATGTCAGTTCCCTGACAGTCAAGGAAGCCGTGAACTCAAAAAGGTTGAAAACCACTGCCTTAGGTTAAGGGTGCACTGTATGTACTGTATGAAGATACAATTTCCTTCTGTCTGTCCTCAACTTCCAAACATTCAACTTTATTGGCTGTGAGCATTTACCAATACTATTAAATTTGATACAGCCTGGATTAGAATTTGACCATCTGTAAGAACCATTTTATCTTTTTTGTCAAAAAAGCAAGATGCAAGTCAGTTTCTTTTCCCTTTACATTTCAAAATTTCCATTCTGGAAAAATACATGAACAAACCACACCCTTTGCAGCAAAAGGGAAGAACTCCAGGCAGCAGGCCTAATTTCACCCAGCATGGGCACCATGAGGGAATTTTCCCCAAAACACACACACCTGCCTCACACCCAACATCACACGTCTCTGGGACAGGCAGACTCAACTGCCAACGTACAATGGGGAGCCCTAAATTGTCCCCGATTGGGCACTGGCAATGGAGGCTTGCCTACTGGGGCTGGCTGCGCTACCGAGTTCCTCGTCATTTGCTGCATGACCAGGTTCCCCACGGAATGGGATCTACAGAATGCTCCTCTAAAAACTACCCAGAAGGCAGGAAATTGGCTGTTGCGAACCACTAACTTCAATGTACTGCATGTCTCCATGTTACACTTTATTGAATAGACTGCTATAGATTATCCTTGAGGGCAAATGCTCTTAGATTAAATCTGATAGATTTCCATCAGCTTCTTGAAGCTGTATTTCTTCTGCACTTGAGCTAGTAGTCATCTCTGTAAGTGGTAGTTGCAGTTTCAAGAAAAACGAATTACTGAGCACACAATACACATCTATCACCCTATTAAGTCCACCACCAAAGAAAAAATGTATTCTGCTGTTACTTTTTAAAGAGGTTCTCTAGAAAACCGTTGTGTCACATTCTAGTTTAGTTCTCTATTAACTGCACAATTATGCATGCATGGACGTATGGTTTTCTGTGTAAACCAATCCATTTTTATTGTGTAGAACAGATGTCCTCCAACGCAGAAAGGAAGATTTGAACCTTTGAGCTGTTACAAATATTTTCAGGATATGTTGCTCTTTACAGAGGATAAAGCACTGCACTATAAGGTAATCATTGGAATAAAGGTATTTATTCCAATATTGTATTTTTTTTAAAAAGCATTTAAGGAGAACAGTAAGCCAAAAGTACTTCAAGAGATGCAAATGTAAAGAAACGAAGATACTGGAGTACAAAAGTATGGCCAAAAATGTTGTAATTTTAACTAGCAAGGTCATATGGGGAGGTTTATACAACATTCGTTCATCAAAAACTTTAAATCCCCAAGCCATAGACAATACATGCATTTGAAGGACATTAAGAACAAGTGCAATTTATAAAATACTGCTAAGTTAAAAGTATGAGTCCCACCAGTTAAATCTACAGGTCCTGTAAGGCCAGCTTCCAAGATGGTGGTATAAAAGCACCATTGACAAATCACATCATATCCTTTGGAAAATTTCTGAGGCAGCTCTATCTTTAAGCTGTCTGGCATTTTAAATCTTTCATTATCTATTTAACTTGTATTCCTTTCCCCATTTTTCAGAACTAGCCTGTTCAAACCAGGGGTGTTGTCTGTAACACTGTAAAAACTACCATCAAATATTAAAATGAGTTGCGCTTATAGCAATAATTATAGTAACAAAATGCATAATTAGAAAGACTTTTGAAAACCATCAGTCGAGGTTGAAGGAAGTCTTAGGCTGTGATAGCCCAAAATTTCGAAATGATGTTTAAAAGGATGTTACGTTGGAAAATACGTATAAAAACTAATAAAAAAATATTTATAAAATGAGTGACCAATTAGCATTAAGCAATTAACACAAGAAATTAATGGGACCACTCATACTTAAGTGGCCACTAAATGATCCAAATGTAGCAATAATTCCCTTTCAGGATAAAGAAAAACTGTAATTTCTGGATATAATGCAGCCTGATATGGCAATTCCTCACAGTCATGGGAAGCCCAATGTATACATGAATTTTCTTGCCACTTCTGGGTCACTTCAACAAATATTTTAATTGAGTCCCAGTCAGAAAGGAAACAAAATAATAAAACCCAGGTACACACCAGTAGACACAGAGCTCTGGATCAGGGCCAACTTGATTTGAAGAAAAGTGTGTAATTTCTGAATTAGCATAAGGCTATGCAAAGAATGGAAGATACACATTTAATGCCTACTATGATGTGAGAGGTATAGGTGCATGTTGGGAGGGCTATTACAATACTAGGTTATCTGAATGTCTAAAATGCAGCAGTCAGGCATATGCAACATGTTTCATAATTTGATGGTGGCACTGTGATGGAATCCCAAAGACCTGAACTGGCTATATGATTAGGGTTCTTTTCTAGCTAAGGCTGGTCTTTGGTAGGCCATGTTAACATATCAAGTAAAACTGCCCTTGTTCTAGGTGCATTTTGCGAGAGGGAATTTCATTAGCTTGAGCAGTTTCTGAACTCTGGGCGCAGTACTCTGCCTAAGATTTCAGATTAAAACTGCAGAGTGGAAGGAAAGGAGGACCTTTTTCTGCCCCCCCCCCCCCCACTTCCAGCTACTCTCTGAAGATTGGAGAAGAGACCAGGGGAAAGACCAGACCATGTGAAAATTGAACATAACATTTTAGCTTCAGTTCATTCATTTTCAGCTTAGCATTCTAGTTATAAAAAAACTGCGCCTAGACATTCCATTGTTGTGCCCATAACCTAGGTTTAAGGTGTGATTTAGCTCCTAGCTTTCATATCTCAGTTTCTAAGACTGCACACCATTAGTTAAGGAAAAATACTGTTGTAGTTGGCATGAAAAGCTATATATATATATATATTATAAAAATTTCAAGAAGAGCAACACATCATTATAATTTATTTGGGTACATTTTATTTTTTTCATGTGTGTTAACATTTGATTTTCTATCATTTCAGGCTTTTGTGAGAAATGCAAAACCAATGGGAAAAGTCAATCATTAAGTCAAAAGTAATTTGCATCTTACAACCAAAGGCTGGGAGAGCCTAGAAGTCACTTAATATGCAACCCTTTCCCTCCCCACGTGATTTTTGTTTGCAAATCATGCAGTCAGTTCCAACCTGATATTCCCACATTTTGTTTTTTTAAAAAAGTCTGCTCCACTTTCAAACTTGGGGTTGGGGGAAAAACTATACTAATGTGATGGCATAACTAAAAACAAACAAACAATTCCCATAATCTTGGCAATCAAAGTAGTTTTGAAGAATAAAAAATGAAATGACCTTGATCATGTATTTAGCCTTCATATATCTGGAGAGCGCCAGCCATCTTGTGAGAAAAGCAAGTTTTACATGTTGGTGTTTTTAAGCTACCCATGAACATCTCATATATTAATAAGTTTTATGTGCTAGGACACAATTCTATTTCTTCTGCACAAGGCCCATTGAGTTGAATGGGAGCTGCACTTCCTCAGCTCCTACGATCTCTAAAAGGGAGTGTGCACAACTTTATAGCTAGAGGACAGCACTCCTAATGAGCTCAAGGACACACACTTCCAAGCAGCTTCCTTTTGGTCCATTTATGATATGCCATGTTACAATGCTTTGGCAAATATACACATCTTTTTTCTTTTGTTAGCTTTCTTCCAGCTCCCTGCTAAGAGGCACTAATGTCTGGGCTCAAAACCTGTAAGGCATAGCAGAAAACAACCAACAGTTTATGAAAGAAAAATACATCTGAGCAGTATAACTTACACGTGGGAAGAGCAGTGTCATTTCAAAAGGAAAAATAGTGGCTGTGAGGAACTGGCACATGGCAATGTTGTAATGGCAATTTAAGGGAAGCTTGCCTCAGCACACCAAAGTCCCCTTCTTTCAACCAACAAGATGATCCAATGCTCTCAACATTTGCCACAAGTCTTAACTTTTCCTAGAAGATGCTAGTGGAACATCTTTGTAATACAATGAGGAGACATAAGTAAACTTTGATTCCTTGTTATACAAGTTTTAAAACTCCCCCCACCAGACCCATAATAATAATAATAGAATACTGTCACCCCAAATAATATTTTAGACTCCTCCATTCTTTCCTTTCTGTAGCTTATTTAAAGAAAAACGTATCAAATTAAATTGGAGCGGTCAATTTATTCCCTGTTAAAGAGAAGGAATGTTGTCATGCATTCTCGCATTTAGTGGGAAGAGAAATCCAGGACTGAGCAGAAGCCACCAAAATTAATGCACCACAACCCCCAGCGAAGACCCCAAGTGTCTGGTCAACCACATAAAGATCTGGCAGACCTTGCTTCAGATCCAACATCTGCTATAGATTTGTCACATAGCAAGTCACTACTTCAAGGTGGGTTCAGATGAGACAGATAAGCACAGCTAGCCCAACGTGTGTCACTTCTGCATCTGGCTGACACAGATTGTTCATCTTCTCCAAAAAGAATCTTGCGCAGCCAAGTTTCACAGTCTGACTGAGCTTTTTTGTCTAATTCAATGCTATTTGGAGATTCAGTTCCCACAAACATCCTACTTTATTTAAATATTTTGAGGAGACCACAGTACAAACTGAAAATAAAATGCTATTATAAATGGTAAATAATAGTGTGGGAACATACTTTAGCTTGATAGAAATGAATGGCAGTTGCGTAAGCAACAGTTCCTGCTGTATTATATCCGTTGTTTTATATAAAAATTAGGACAGATTTCATAATGTTGTTAGCAAAGACTTAAGTATCATTTCCTTCCCATTCCACCCCATTTTAGTGTCTTTTCACATTCTATGCCTATCATTTATAGTTCTGCAACACAGAATACTTTTTAGAGCTGTATCAGTGGTATCATTTTGCTATATATTTAAAGAAAGGCACAACCTTTCAAATGTTACTCAGTTGGGTCTGACAAACTAAATTCTGGAATACGGCATATTTAGGGAAGTAGTAATGTATGCACAATAATTTTATTTGCATAATGAATTGAGGTGGCTGTTAAAACCATCTCATAAGGGCCGCCATCACATACAACCGTTTCTGTATCTCAACTTCTCATCATATGTACACAATGATATAGGCACACATGTGCTCACCACACATGCGAGTATATTAGTAGTATATATATGTTTGTCCCTACACTGAAGAGATGTTCATGTAGGAAGACTGGCATGTGTGAAGCAGCACAAGAGTGGAACCAAACAGTCCTTCCTTTGTTGCATTTGGAGATCTATGAGATCCACACTTGTGAATGGGTTCAATATACACCAAGTTGTCTCATCGCCACACACACAAAAGACAAGGCCAAGAAATTAGCAAGTTTGCCAGTCACACAGTTTCTGAACAGTCAGAAGTGTGTTGAACTCACACAAAATTGGTACCATATAGATCTCAACTATATGGTGACTGTAGAGCATAACCTGGTGGTTAAAAGAAGAAGAAGAAAGTTTGCAAAGTCAGGGAGGTAAACTAACCTTCTTTTCATTTACTAGAATCAATGCAGCCCAGCAGCACATTTTCTTCTAAGAAAGCTACCTCAAGAGTGAAACCTTCTGAAAACTTGTATAGAAACATTGATGACTTTGTGTGTGCGTGCGTGTTTTCAGTTCCACTTCTATTCAGGCTGTGCAAATGATTTGACACAGCACGATGCTAGTACCGCTCTGCACTATAATAATTATTTTTGTAAATAAAAATAAAAAACCCTAGTCAGAAATAAACTGACAAAAAATTACATTCTTCTCTCTTAAAAAAGTAAATAAAATAACATTATTTAAAATGTGAATTATCTATAAGACATACATTACAATTACATAGATACATATCAATACAGCACATTCAATCTGCCAAAAATTAATGATTACAAAGCCAATATGGATGCTGCCATATATATATATGTTTGTTTTGTGTGTGTGTGTGTACAATGATTATAGCATTCATAATTGCACTATACCTACAACCATTTTTAAATTACAAGATGTTTCATTATGAGGGAACAAAAGCAGCTCAACTTTTCATTAATTTTAATGGAAAAAGTTAAGTGTGAACGGCATCTCATTAGAAATCATTGAGAAGTATCCACCAAGCACGGGTGCACTAACACTCATGCTCATTGTAAGTGGGAGTCTTGCACCAGTGCCACTGAAAGTAATGCTTGGGAGATTGCAGCCATAGTTAAACTTTGGTACTAAACTAATACACACCAGTCTCACTGCCCCTCTGCCACAAATGCTGCTGCTGAGCTACAGTTTCTGCTAAAGGGCTGCAACATGGCATTTTAGAAAAAGTTAGTCAATTTCTCATATGCTCTTTCTAACCTTCATACACAATTTTGCAATCTGACAGTAATCTTATTTACACAAAGCCTAAAAATTATCTTTCAATCCATGATGTGAAAGAGATACCCATCAAGGCATACACAGTCTTATCTCTCCACCCTTTATATTGTTAAAAATAGGTATACTCACAATCCCATACATGTCCACTCAGAATAAATTGCTCTCAATGGGAAATGTGCATAGGACTGCAGCCTTCACCTTCCAATATGATTTCCCCCAGTTATTTCACATATAATAACAATTCTAAGGCCAGGTCCTATTTAGAAATCCCCAAATAAACCAATTAAGCAACCACATCAAGGATGTTGTACTTCCAATTCTGTGTTTTTCAGTTAAGAAGAAGAAGAAGAAAGAAATACTGTGGAATGCTATGTCACCTAGACAAGAGTAAAACTGACTTTGAATTAGCAGACCATATGTATGTAGCACCAAATAACATTTTCACTCACACTGCAGTGGTTTTTTGGCATTGACAAAGGAATGCTTCCCAATACAAACAGGGAACAGAGAAGTTGAACTCTAACTGCTTAAACATTTGGCTGTCATCTGGAACAGACAGATCCCCAATCAGTTAACTTGACCTTTAAAATCAGTAACTTACACTTCCATTTTTTTAAAAGCCAGATCTGGCAATGTCAAACTTGGTAGACAGTAAGAATAGGCTTGAAATGGTGAGAGAAATCGAGAAGGTCTGATTAATTAAAACAAAAAACAAAAACTTCCAGGTTACTGTAGTGTCCATGACATCTGTTTGGCATCTGTGATTAGGACGCAATAAAAAAAAAGGGGGGGGAGGATAAATTTTGTTATGGCACATGGAAATTAAAAAAGCTATCCTATTTCCTTATTTGCTTTTGTGTCTTAGTTGTTTGTTATTGTGTTCTGCACAGTTTGCCAAGTTTCCATGAGAAAATTAAAGGTAAATTCTGTAACACTGCTACAATTCATGTTGCCACTGAACAACACTCCCGGGCCTTCAGTGCAAAGACAGTACCAAGAAGCAGATATATTTGACATCTCTGCCAAAAATTAAATGAAAAACAAAAGAAAGTTAAGCACATCAATACTTTTGATCCTTCCAAAAACAAGTTGCTGAAAAATCAGAACAACTGATGGCTTAAATTCTAGAGACAGATTTTTGCTGACCATATCACTATAGAGGAAATGAAAGAATGAAACTTGGGTAAAAGGCCACTGTACCTCTTAAGACAAGAGGGGAGAGACACCAACTTGATTTTGCTTCAGAAACAAACAAACAAAGACCATCCAAGTCCCTATCCTTTGTGAGTGCACGACTGAGAATTTAACACACATCGAGTCACAAAGTTTTGACTAAAAAAATGAGGAAATGTGCTGTGAATGTAGTTCAGCATCTTTTGTTTTTCCTCTGCAAAGTTTAAATAAAATCATAATATTTACTATAAACCCTGTGAACATTCACAGAGTCCAGGCCAGTAATAAATTAGTATTATGCAGATTGTTTTCACAGATAATACAGTCCCTCTTGAATATCTTCCATTGCCCAAAGGGGGAATAAGGGGTGGTAGAGACTTTAGAGGCACAGTTAGACCAAGTTGTACTCCTTCAGGTTCAACTGTAGGATAGTGTCTTTGACAGCAGCAAAGACAAAGCGGATATTCTCCGTGTCTGTGGCACATGTGAAGTGGGAGTAGATAATTTTTTCGCTCTCCGGATTCAGGTCAACAAACATCTTCAGGATGAACTCCCTTGCTGCTTGTGCATCCCGCTGAGGTCCTGTTATAATAAAAACAACACCAACAGATGTTCAAATTAGAAAGTGATAAATGTTGGAAATGTAAATGGACAGTAGGAACGTTCTACCATATGTGGTGGTCTTATAGTGTTATTTAAGACTATTGGGAATTAATCCACAATGAATTGAAAAAAATGTTTAAAAGATCCTTTCCTAAAAACCCAGAAGCTTATCTTCTAGGTATAATAATGACAGAAATCCCCCCCCAAAAAAGTGAGTCTACTGATGTATGCGACCACGGCTGCACAAATTTTATTTGCACAAAAGTGGAGAACAGATGCGTTTCCAAAAAAAGAGGAGTGGCATCATAAACTGTTGGGAACTATGACTAATAGAATAAGAAACACAGATTTTAAAAAAACATAAAGAGGATTGGATGTTATATATAGAATACATGAAAAGTTATTATAATAAGACAATCAACCTAGCAGACTGATGTAATTCAGCAGCATAAGTTATTACATGAGAGAAAAATTTAGAAGAACAAGATGAAAGGATAGGTTGGGAATAGAGAGGAAAGCATGGAAGGAGTGGAAGGGAAGCATATGAAAAGAAGTTTACTTGTCTTAGGAAGCCGGGTTCTCTCTTACCATCATACTCTGGGAAATAGTCAACTAGATGCGAGTACATTATTTTCTCTTCTAGAAGATCTTTCTTATTTAAGAACAGAATGACTGAAGAGTTCTGAAACCAGGGATATGTGATAATTGTCCTAAACAATGCTTTGCTTTCCTCCATTCGATTCTGAGAGGGAAAATACAGAATTAAATGAGAGAATAACACAATTCATACATACATGTTAACTATAATAAATGTTCCAAGGGCATAATCTGTAAATTAAACATATTGTATTAGGTAACATTCTCAAAAAAAATGTAGCTCTGATTACATTATTGGACTCAATGCAGTGAAAGAGCCTTTTTGGTGGTAGCACAGTATCTGTGGAACGATCTCCCCTAGTTAAGTGCATCTTGCCTAAACTTTTTGTCAGGCTTTCAAAGGGTTAAGATTATGATGCTTTTTAAAAATGTGTGTGTGTGTGTGTGTGTGTGTGTGTGTGTGAGAGAGAGAGAGAGAGAGAGAGAGAGAGAGAGAGAGAGAGAGATTTATTGTAAATTGGACTTTGACAGTTTTTCTTGAAGAGCTGTATAGAAATATCTTAATAAATCAATCAATTCATAAATAATCAATCAGAAACGAGCTGGGGGCTTGCATGCTCCCTCTTCCTCTCTTCTTGCACAGGACTTCATTTTCTTGCTTAGCACTAACAATGGTTTGCTATAATGTCTCACTCAGCCGGCTATGCTTAGCATTCTTCCTCCAAAACCAGATCGGAAACCCACTTCCCTTGGTTTGGAGCACAAGCACCAACCTCTCCACTTCCAGCTACTCTCTGAAGACTGGAGAAAGGACCCTCTTAAGAATATTAGGGGACCATGTGAAAATGAACATATTTTAGCCGCAGTTCATTGAGTTTATTCACTTTCAGATTTGTATTCTTGTTATTAAAAAAGCAAGCCTAGACATTCCTTTGTTGCACCCATAACCTAGCTTTAAAGTTCCATTTAGCTCCTTGTTTTTGTATCTCAGTTTCTAACACCGCTAGAAAGTAGATAGGCTTTTCTTTTTGTAAATTATGCCAAGCAACAAGCTGTGAAAATAACTTAAGAGTCAACATTCCTGCTTAAAGCAGATCTCCCATTAACCCCAAGGTCTCAAGCAAACATTACCATAAAAGACAAAACAAAATCCACAGATGACATGTAAAATACTGTATAAACACACACTGTACATACATTTAATGACTACAAAAATATGCCATGTGAGTAAAGTATGTGAGGTTCTTGATGCCTCAGCATATACTTTATCAATACAGTGAATTTGCTGAGCTTGGCTCACTTATCTTATTTCTCTCTGCCCTGCCCTCGCTGGGATCCTGCAGGTTCCCAAACCAAAGAGATGTTCAATACAACAGAGGTGTTGATCTGCCTCTATGTAGAGAAAGTATGAGCTTTTCTCCTGAATATTTTAAGCATAATTCCTGACACTAGCCAGTGGAGACTATTAATTCTAGGGATGCCAAACTTAAGCAGATGTGAGATAAGTTGTTTTGATTCAACCAGAACAATGAAAATAAAGAAACTGTCTTAAGATGTAAATGAAATATTATCTTGACTATAAACTACTGTATATACACTATGCATGCCAAAGAACATTGAATTGTTCATCAGAGTAAACATTATACTTATTCTTCCATTTACTTATATATTGCCACATCTACACCCAAGGGCTTTTAGAATGGCATTGTGGAGTAAATGTTGCATTCAAATAATAGTCACCTAAAGTCTTAGAGCTCATCTCAACTAGGTCCTTTATTTCACATTTATAAAAAAATAAATCCCACAAGTGTTACGCTGGTTACACAGAGTGATATCACTGCTACTCATTATTCAAGGTATAGATGCTGGTCCTTGATGAATAAAGTAATTGTGATGCATAAGGAAATCATAGTATTTAAACTGTTTCATTTTTACTCAGATGTTGTAGAACTAAACTGGATTCGAAACATTGGCAACTTGAGAAGTGATCTTGTATCAGAAACCATCAATTTCTGTATGCATGGTTGTAACACAAAAACGGTTTCTGAAGCCCAGAATACTGACAGGTGGCTTCACGTGAGGAGGGATCTTAAAATCTTACCAGTGGCGTAGCGTGGGTTGTCAGCACCCGGGGCAAGGCAAGTAATTTGTGCCCCCTAACCCATGGATTTGCGCCCCCTAACCTGTGGATTTGCGCCCCCTAACCCTAACCCCCAGATGTTGCGCCCGGTGCAGCCGGCCCCCCCTGCACCCCCCATGCTACGCCACTGAATCTTACCAACTTCTAGGGGGGCTCAAAAGATAACACTTAAAGCAGCTGTGGAAAAAATGTTTGGTGTAGAAACAGATTTATTTCTTGTATCTAATTAAAAATTTCAACAGCTAAAAGAAATGCAGCAGACTCAGGCAGGGAGCCGACCAATAAAGAGGATGTCAATGCAAATCCAGAAAATCCACAGCAAAAATTATGAACAGCTGGCTGATGATCATGCAAAAAATGTGGAATGAGCACCCAAACCTGTCAACACCCAGTCATCATTCTGATGCTTAGTCAACTGAATAAAGAAAAAGTCAGCCTGTTTTAAGTTGGGCTTATCTACGCTGAATGAAATTTAGCTTGCCGTATTTAAATCAGAGGTTTTGTTCATTAGCTCCATCAGTAATGATTTTACTAAAAAATAACAATAAAAAACCACACCAGATTCACACATTCAGGTGCGTCACCAGTATCAAACAACTGAAATGCTTCTAGTGTTGTACTTGGGGTGGCGTGGAATGAAAGCTCTGTTTTTACACATGCAAATTACAACTGGATTTTGTAGAAAGAAAGAAACAAAGAAAACTCACAAATAGCTTCTGGGTGCCTTGAAAGAAAAGAAAGCACAACCATATCTGTTGCATCCTAAAGTTTCAATGCAACTAGTACCCAGGAAAGTGCAGTTAGCACCCAGCACTTAAGCCGTGAGACTATCACAGAATTATTTGTCCCCTTGGATAATTTCTGAATGCATTTTCTTTTTTCGTTAACTGATGAGAGACTGATAAATCTTTTGATACAACACTAAGCTGAATGGAGGTCAATCCAGATATTTATACTATAATCCAGAGGATTATAGCACCATCTAGTGTTCAAGTAGCATAATTTAAACGCCACCCTTATTTTTAGCCAACTCACTCCTTGCTTTTTTGTAAGGCAGTCGTTAAGTCAACAGGTTTACCACACCTATCAGCCAATCACCCATTCCCACCACCCTTCTGAGTAATACCCCTCCCCACCCTCTCACTATATATAAGGGTCTGGTGACTTCTGTTTCAGTGTATCTGAAGAAGTGTGCACGCACACGAAAGCTCATACCAATAACTAACTTAGTTGGTCTCTAAGGTGCTACTGGAAGGATTTATTTATTTATTTATTTTTATTTGTTTTGTTTTGTTTTGGCCACCCTTATTTGTAATCCACTAGGTGGATACCTGCTAATCTGGTATCTGTTGCATACCAAAACTTCACTCAATACTGAAAGAAGAATTTGGGTTGGTTTGGGACCCATTTAGACAGACACACATCAACATTTTCATACTACTGTTTTAACTTTAGCTTGTCACATTCATCACAAGATAATGGTGTAAGCAAACTCATTTAAACCCAAAGTACACTACTCGTTAGCTATAATATTTTGTTACAACTAATATCTGTCATGTGTGTATGTATCCTATATTATCCTAAAGGATAAACTGAATCCTTGAGGAAATAAAAGGAATTAAACTACTTTGTACAGTAGGCATTCACATGAATTCAGTTATTCAAACAGGTAAATTGCTCCTTGTACCTTGCATAAATATGTGAAATCTGAAATTTATGAATGAAAATGGCAAATTTTATTTGCGCGCGCGCACACACACACAATTCTGCCCCCACAAACATGCAAACCACACAATAGTAGCATACACTTCTCAGTACACTCCAATATTTCAGTTATCTTGCCTTTTCTGATCAGGATAATTTTGGATTTGAATAAGCTTTAAATCACTCAGTGCAAAATGTCTGAATCCTTTATGCTTTTCTCTATTGAGAGGAATAATATTCTACAAAATGATGTAATTTTAGCTATTCCAAGTACCAGTGAAATTAATGAACTGAACACACCTGGTATTCTGTCACCTAAGAATCATTCAATTGTTCACAGTATGCCAAACATAAGCCAGTAAAAGCTTGCTACTTTCATTCTTTGGCATTAAGCATTTTCACTGTACATCTATATTGAACAAAAGTATGTCCCATTAAGATTTGTGGACCTTACAACTAAGGTAATAGAGAATTGAATATTTCACCAAGAGTCATAGAGCAAAGAAAATTTTGAAGTGCATTATCAGGTTATGGGCAACAAGCAACCCAAAGTACTAACACAGTCTTGAGCCAGGAGGTCTTCCTTTATTAACAACTTTGAGATCCAAAGGACCAGGTGCATAGCCTGGGGCTCATTTTAGACTCACAGCTGTCCATGGAGGCACAGGTTAATTCTGTGTCCAGTGAAGCTGTCTACCAGCTCCACAGGGTACACCAGCTGAGACCCTACCTGCTTGCACACTGTCTCACCAGAGTAGAGTGGTGCATGCTCTGGTTATCTCCCACTTAGATTTCTTCAATGGTCTCTATGTGGGTCTACCTTTCAAGGTGACTCAGAAACTACAACTAATCCAGAATGCAGCAACTAGACTGGTGACTGGAAGCGGCCACTGGCACCATATAACACTGCTCCTAAAGGATCAACATTGGCTCCCAGTATGTTTCCGAGCAGAATTCAAAGTGTTGGTACTGACCTTTAAAGCCCTAAACAACCCAGGCCCTGAAGGAGCGTCTCCACCCTCATCATTCAGCCTGGACACTGAGGTCTAGTTCCAAGGGCCTTTTGACAGGTTCTCTCAATGTGAAAAGTGAAGTTACAGCGAATCAGGCAGACGGCCTTCTTGGTAGGAGGGCTGGGTGATACCAGCTTTGCAACACTGTGGTGTATCATCAGCCAAACTTCACGGTCTGGTGATATACTGTGATATTGAAAAAACAAGCTGCATTGGCCTCAGCCCACAAGGTGCCAGGTGAAACTGCCTCAGCTCTCACAGCGGGAGCTGAGGCAGTTTCACCCGAGTGCCTCACAGACTGGGACAAAGCAGCTTGTTT